CCCCGCCGAGCCGGCGGCGCGGCCCCGGGGCCCGGCGCTGGCTCCTCCCGGAGGCGGGGGCTGAGGGGGGCCGGGCCCCGGGGCGCTTGCCCCGCGCCGTGGCGGCGGGGAGAGCGGTGGGGCGAGCGGGCGGGCAGGGGCATGACACGGCGGGCAGGGGGCGCGCAGCCCTGCCCCGGGCACGGGGCACCGCGGGGCTGCCGGGCTGGCCCCGGGCGGCAGCGGACGGGACGAGGCCGCGCCGCCCCCAGCGCCGCGTTCCGGTTCCGGCGCGCGGAGCAGGGCGGGAAGCGGCGGAGGCCATTAGCGGAGAGCGCGGGCAGCGCCGGGTGGTGAGTGCCGGCCTCGGGCCGCGTCCCCTGCGGTGCCTGCTCGTTCCCCGGGCGCTCTGCAGCTCCCTGAGTGGTGCCGCATCCCCCGAGGGGCCGGAGGGGACCGGGTCAGGGCGGCGAGGTGCGGGAGGGCTGGGGTGGCCCCGGCCCCCTCACGAAGGGCCCGGTGCTTGGCGCTGCGGCCCTGAGCGCGGCCGTGCTGCCCGCGGGGCCCTACCGCTGTGGGATGTACCTGGGGCTCGACTGTTCTGTTACGTGGTCCTTAAAAGTGAATTTCCTAGAAGAGACCTGGAAAGACTAGCTGTTGATGTTTAAAGTCTCCCCGTGGGCACGTCTCTAGAGAAGCGTTATTGATGCTTAGTCAAATCGCGTTTGTTGTGTTTAAATGTGAGGAAAATGGAAGGGATGATGGATTGTATAGCTGGAGTTTATTTTACACCTTCCTTTGTAATAAAAGTTTTTGCTTTCCTCGTGCCTCAGGTGTAGAGCCACAGCACTGCAGCCATGTCGATTGGAGTGCCCATCAAGGTCCTGCATGAGGCTGAGGGCCACATCGTGACCTGTGAGACCAATACAGGAGAAGTTTATCGAGGCAAACTTATCGAAGCTGAAGACAACATGAATTGTCAGGTATCTCTTGCTTCACAAGGATGGAGGGAAGGTTGGCTGATCTGAGCCTGGGAAGGCTGAAAATTTGACTAAAAGACTTGCTTTTAGTTGTGGGATAAAGAAAATTGTGCTGCTGCTTTTTATCATGGTGAAGTGGATTCAGCATTACAGAATGCTCCGAAGAGACCAGAGCTTATTTCCAGTTTCAGAGTAAGATTGGGCATCCCTGTCAGTAGGATCAGAGATTTTAAGAGTCTGTCTTGCGAACACTCCAGTGGTTTTCTGGAGTTCTTTTTTTAAAGCCACAGAGTATAAGAATAAAAAGCCCTTGATTTAAGAAACTGAAGCTTATTTAATGCACATTACTTCAGTCATTCTAAGAGGGCCTGATTTTGACTTCAGACAAGTGATCACTGAAATCAGTATGCTTTCCTAATAGTACTGGAACACCTTTACTAAAACTGTTTGCATACAAGAAAACAAAAATAATGATGCTGATAAAGCTAATTTGTAAACTGTGGAGAAAACAGAAGTCCCAGGCACCAGGCATGGGGTGTGTTTAAATGGTCATAATGCCTCGTGTCACAGCTGAGACCTGTCTGAGCACTGACTGATTTTTACCTTCCAGATGTCCAACATAACAGTGACATACAGAGATGGACGGGTGGCACAGCTCGAGCAGGTGTACATCAGGGGCAGCAAAATACGGTTTCTCATCTTACCAGATATGTTGAAGAATGCTCCTATGCTAAAGAGCATGAAGAATAAAAACCAAGGTTCTGGAGCTGGGCGAGGGAAAGCAGCTATTCTCAAAGCTCAAGGTATGTACAACTTGTTCATGGTGTCTCCCCCTATTTTTCTTTAGAACTGTAAAACTCATCTCTATCACTGAGGAGATTAAGCAGTAAGAAGTGAAAAGATTACTGGTTCATACAGTGTTTTTCTGTATGTTTTATCTTATAGTCAGAGTCAAGACTCAAATTGTCCCAATTACCTGAATTGTAATATGTATGAATATGAATGTGTAATGTTGATGCTACAGTAATTTAGAGTTAGTGAGTAGTCTTGTTAAACAGAGCCTTTCTGTTAAACTTAAGAGTTCTGTTTTCCTGCAGTTGTGGCCACCAGCTGTTTGGAATACTTAGGGAAGGATTCAGGTGTTCTTGTTAAGTTTTTGTAGGAAAAGAGCTTTAGTTATAAAGTATTTAAGCTCCTGGGAAGCTATAATTATTAGCTTTTCTGTAGTTCACTCTCATCTCTGCCTTTCTCAGGGGATCAGTCTAGTTATTAGGTAGCTGAGTAACAATCTTGTGCCACGAAGTCCCTGGTTAACTTCAGTGTGCAGTAATGTTTATGTGGAGGAGTAACTTACTGAGTAGTGCTGCAAAACCTCGCAAGAGTGTGGGGTTTCAAATCTCTTGGGTGACACAGATTTGTGTGTCAGACAGAACATGAGATGTATGAATATTTACTGCAGTTGTTCTGAGGAGCCAGACTGTGGGAGCATTAGGTTCTAGTTCTTCTCACAGAAAACTTCTTGTTCTCACATCACTTCCTGAGCATTTCCTTGCTTCTGAGCAAGAGACCTTGAGTGTTGTTGATGTTTTGCTTGTCGGTTGTTGAGATAAATATGCAGGTATGTCAAATTCATGTCATCCCTGATGTTTTCTTTCTTCAGTGGCTGCAAGAGGAAGAGGCCGTGGTATGGGCCGTGGCAACATCTTCCAGAAGCGAAGATAATTTTGGTCTTGGCCGAGTTGCTTTTTTTATTAGGGGTGTTAACTTGACTACGTGTGCATTGGTATCAGTTTTGTTTAATAAATGTTTCTGACAAAAACTTGTCTGCTCTTACCTGACAGGACAGTTCTTGGACAAATACACTGTAGGTTGATTTCAAACTCAAGCCAGCTTTGGAAAATAGTGGACTTTATTACATCTAGTTTTGACCACTCTGTGTGATGCATTGGTTTTTAAAGATCATTAGGTTTCCTTTTTTTTGTTTAGTCCTGCTGTCATTTATTCTCTAAAGAATTAGAAGGCATTCTTAATGAAGAATTTTAAGTCATACATTATAAAGTCTTATTAACAGCTGCATTTATGGAAAATACAGCAAAACAGAGGCAGCTTCCTGAGAAGCAGAGCACTGTGTTCTTTTGCTTTATATGGACCTACAGTAAACCTTCATCTTCAGATCTGTATATTGAACTTGTATACTTGCATTTATTATTTTCTTTTTGGATATAGAGAGAATTTTTCATTAGGAACATACAACTTTGATAGCCTGAATCTATATTTGCAGGGAAAAAAATCTATTCTCACTTTCCTAGCAGTTCTTCCCTGTGTCTGGGAAAAGAGAACATAAAATAGGCATTTTACAGGATAAATTTGAAATGCTTTGTGGATTTGAAAGGCAGTGCAGGTCTATGAGGAAAACCTTATAAATAGTTACCCATTAAACACAACTCAATACAAATTCTGATGTTTTGAACAAAACTCATGTATCAACTTCAGCTTTTGATCTTATTATCTTATTAGTTGTGAACAGGTCAGCTGATCTGCAGGAAGCCAAATGTAGCTTCAGTTTATTTTGCTTGAAGTGTAGCTTGGGTGTTTTGACTTACTGAAATGGTTGAAATGTTTCAATGTAACCCTTCTGTACCTAATCTCCTACTTGCATAGTCTGTACACACAAAAAAGAGCTGCTCTTGCTTTTCTGCTCGGATGCTGTGAAGACTCCCTTGTGTGCAGACAGGAAAGTTGAACTAATGTATTAACTTGTTCAATTGTGTGTAAATAAAGCTGTATTTGGTCTCACATCACTAGGGGAAAAACCTGCTGCATGTTCTTCTGGCTAGTAGTGATCTTAAATATTTGCAATGGAAACCTCCTTAGAATGTGTTTAAGGGATACTTGAGCTTAACTATAAAAGCATTGTAGTGCCATCTTATGCTTCTCCTGAGGAACGTGTCCAAAAAATGGCAGTCCTCACAGACTGGGACCATTTCCACTGATGGTGACTGGTTCACCTCTTATAAAGTCCTCGTTTCTTCTTGAGCAATGCCAAGCTGCTTGCTTTTCCCTCAGGAGCAGTGGATGTGGCATTCAGCAGCACTGAGGGTGGGGGAGAACCACGCATTTCAGAGAGAAACAGTAACCTCATCAAGAGGTTTGATGGAACAAACTCTGTATCTGCTTTAAGAAGTTTGAAGTAACATCTCTAAGGCATATCAGCTTTGAAGAAGATACTGGATTTTGCATTAAAAAAAAGCTTTGCACTATGCCTGCAGGCTGAGGCTGAGTCTAGGATGAACTATTCAGGAAGATACCATGAATTTAGTGTTAAAAATGCTGAAGTTTCATGCTGGTAAGAAAGTACCAGCCAAGACAAACATCACTTAGCAATTTCTGACCGGGAGAACAGGAATGTTAGTTTGTTACAGGCTGCTTTCCAGAGCCTTCCTGTGATGTGTGTATACTTGCAGTGTGATAAATCAAAATTTCCTTCTCACAGACTGGATCTCACCCACTAGATGGCTCTGTTGGGAAGAGAATGAAGCTCAAGAAACCAGAACGCCCTGGAAAAAATAAATGCAAGAAATATGACTTCTTCTATAAAGTCCATAAACTCAAGGGCTATTATAAACTAGCTTGAAAATACCTTATTTTCTTTCTTCAGTGTTCCCAAAGTGCTAGCTTCCTACATGGCTGGGTTATTCCAGCTGCTGATTGATGCTGTGTTTCCCTGGTACTTGGCTAATTGGGCAAATGCACTTAGATCACGTAGATTCCTCAGTTCAGTAACTTAAGCAATCTATTTCCCTGGGATGGCAGATACTAAGGAGAGATGCAGCTGTTTTTAACATCTGGAGTTATTTGTCAGGTTTTTTTAATCACAGATTGCAGCATTTCTTTTCATTCTTTGCCATCACACTGTGTGGGCTAGTAAATCTCATGCTCTTCAGTGGGTTCAGGGCTTTCCACAGTTTCCTGCTTTTGATAGAGAGACACAAGCACTGGCCTAAAGCCTTGTTCTAAACTTGCCCCTTTGATAACACCAGTGTAAGTGCCTTTGAAGTACTTGTGGGACAGAGAATCTGTACTGTAGGTGTGCAAAATGGTGTGTGGAGAGGAGCAGGTAGAAATTCACCCGGTCTTCCAGGTCAAAACCACATTTGTGCTCTGGTATGAAAACAGGGCATAATATCAGAGAAGAGTTAGAGAAGGTATCACTTGAAAAAAATTGCTTACTGACGAGGTGCTTTCATCCCATACATGCACAGTTCTTTCTCTCCAGGTGTGTCCTAACTTCTATTTGATTACCTAAGGTTGTACTTCTCTTTAGTTCATTTTTCAATGCTCTTCAGAAAACTTCTTCTAGAAGGGCAGAATGAAGTGGGAAATGTGAATTTCTGCTGCTGGTAGTCAGGATAACTGTCCAGTCTGTATCTCAGCTAATTGAGCTTTACAGTGAGCTGTCCTGTAAAACAGATGTGTCCTATTTCTTTTGCCAGTAAAATATGAGCAAGGGTGGAAGACTGATGTCCCAGTGGAGCAATGGTTTGGTAAGGTAGCAATGGGTGAATTCTGAGGTCTACAAGAAAGTGTCAGTGATTCAGTTGTTTATTTCCCAGGCAAGGGTCAGAAACAGGGAAAGAGTTCTTTCTCCCGGGCGCCCTTGATGTTTCCATCCTGACAGAAGCAAACATTTAGATCTGGACTTGCACCTTATTGCAGCCAAACTGATTTCAGGAAGACCTGGTCTTCCTCTTGTAACAGATAAAAATTTTGGGACCCTCCTGCCTTCAGTGATTCTTGGAAGGAAATACAGATACACCACTTTAAAAGCATGGTCATGGAACAGCCTTGAAGAAATGCTGATGGGTAAGTGTGTGCAGATCACTTTGCAAGTGAGAAGAGACTTGTCCACCTGCTCACAGCTGCAGACAGGAGAGCTACCAGGTGACTGCAGTGTGCTGGTGCCTGAAGTAGCCAAAGCACTGCCTGTCTGCAAGTATTTTCCAGGTCATGCTGTGTTTTGACTGCTCCAGGTTGCCTACACGTGTAATAAGAGCTCTTGATAGAGTCAGGAGTATTTTGGAGGTGATGAGTAAGGAAGTGCCACCCTTCCCTGCTTGTGGTAGCTGTTCCTCAAAGACCAGGGCGTGGGATTGTTTAACTCATTGTGGAGGCTGACATTAGTGTGCAGTATGAGTAGTAGGTTTGGGGTGGGTTTATGCCACTTAATTCAGACGTTTAATGAGGAAAGTATTTGGGGTTTGTGTGTGAGTTGCTTGTTCCTAGTAGATGGGCTATTATTCCTGGCCCAGGACCAGTCATTGCATAATCAAGTATTGTGCAGTCTTCTGCTGCTCAGCAGAGACTATCAGAGTCTATGAAAAGTGGAGATTTTCCAGCATCGTTAATTCAGGAGAGACTGCTGAAGCCCTGGCAAAGAAACAGATTGTATCCAGAAGATGTGTAGTTATGCTGGAAAAGAATTGCAGAAAAACACTATTATTGTTCTTTTGTTTGGTGAACTGCTTGCAGTGAGCATTTAATTTGTTCTTCATTTTCCCTTGCCTGGGGACTTAAAATCTGTTGTGTGGCTGGGGGTTTGCCCTAATTCCAGCTCAGTGGAGAGATGCTGGTACATCTAAACCAGAAGCTAATCACTTCTTGTGAGGCAAATCATCTTACATTTTGTCCCTTGGTGCCTAAAACGTTAATAGGGAGTGAGTGGAGCCCACAGCCTCAGAGAGGTTTTGGAGTACTGAAGCTGATATTGTGACAATGCATAGACCCATGTGGTGGCATTTTAGAATGCTTCTTGATACCTTCACACTCCCCTAAAATCTTGAGTAAAATGTAGGGTGAACAGGGTTTTTTTTCCCTGACACCATACCCAGCTGAGACACAGAACTGGTATGCAGAGATTTTTACTTTCCTCTAACAGAGGTGTTGCTTTTTTTTTGCTTCATGAACAAATGAGCTCCTTTCTGTGTCATGTCTCTGAAATAGCTCCAAAACAAGCCTTTTTTGCAAAGCTCAGACAAAAGTCGATGTCATTCCCCTTGAAGAGCCCAATGTCAAAGGGTACATCAGATGCATCCTCAGAACCAGACAGGAGTGTGTCATTTGCCTGCAGTCTCGTTCATCTCTTGCTTTGGAGGGCAGTTTGGATACAGCAGCAGAGGTGCTGTGGTTTCGGGAAAGGAGGGCCTGCACTTAGAGGAAGTGTTGCTTCTTCCTCCTCTCTTGGTACTTGTTACCATTGGCTTTGTTTTGTCTTCTCGCTGTAATCCTTTTTTTTTTCCCCCAGTTAATGATCCAAATTTGATATGGAGAAAGTGGATGAAGCTCTAGGGAACTCATTAGAGGCTTTTTGTGTCAGAATTTGACTCCAAATACACAAAGTCTAATCCTAAACCTTGGCAGAGATTTATACCATGGGATGTGCTGAAGCTTCTGGCTGGAGGCTGTGAAGAGTGTCCATGTAGGAGATCTCCCTTATCTCCATGGCCTCATTTGAGCCTGGCTTTTACTGGGCCTGCAGCCCCTGGCTGAGCTCTGGGGGTGTATCCTGCTGTCCTGCTTGTGAGAGCCAAGCATTCACCCAGCTCCAGAGCACCTGGCCCTGTGCTAGCAGGAGATTTGGGGGCTGCCAGTGACACTGTAAAACACCAGGATTCATACTGGAGCTGAGGGATGGGTCAGTCCAGGGCTGAGACCCAGACAAGGGGCCCTGGAGACCCTTTGGGCTGTTGTGTCTGAGTATCTGGTTACACATCAAACCTGTTCCTTTGGCCTCTGCTTCACTCTTTCCATTGCAGTTTCTGAAAAG